GTGAAGGTTCGACTTTTTTTTAACCTTCACAGTGTTTTTGCTGTGAAGGTTCAACTTTTTTAAACCTTCACAGTGTTTTTGCTGTGAAGTTTACGTGTAAAAATGTGGTCTCACGGGTCTCACGAAAACAGGCTGGTCTCACGTGAACCCAACCCTATATATATATATATATATATATATATATATATATATCCAACTGGTCGTTGATAAAAGAAAGATTCGTGTATATATATATATCCAACTGGTCGTTGATAAAAGAAAGATTCGCTTATATCATCCCGTTTTGATTCTTCCATAGATTTAAAATGATAGGGGTGATTTCAATCATTGTTATCCATAAGATTGGGGTGATCAAAGTTGTGTTGCATACCAACAGAAGACCCACACAAAAAGATAAATTATCTATATATATATATATATATACATATATATTAAATAATTCAATTTCTAGAATAGAAATATATTCTATTTTTGCAGAAACTTAAAGATTTGTGTATGATTTAGAAAGCATATATAATAATTGTTGAATAAAGTAACGTTTTGAGACAAAGATATTTGTTTTTCAACATACATAATGTTTGTTACATGAAATAATATTATATAAAAACTGTATTTTTTACTTATGTTTTTTTATATACAGAAAACACACGAAAACTGATTTGCAAATTTGTATGATTAATTGTGTTTGTGAATAATTTTGGGTCTCGATGTATGTGTGTACCGTAAATTATATAGAAACCGTTCAAAAGTTAGAAACTCGTGAAATTCAGTTTCATTGTTTCATCTAAAATCATGATTTCACATATCTTCAATCACATTCATATTCATGAATTTGTTAAAGTTGTGATAGAAGTTGGTAAAGTAAGATAGATGAAGGCCTGTGAATATGAAGGTAAATGAAGGTCCTACTTCTCACTATTTTCTCCAAAGGTTTATTCTCACGTGATCCTAACCCTATAAACGGAACCTTATTTGCATTGAAAACTAGGGAACCATCGAGAGCGCATCACGTGTTCATATTCATGATGAATATGCAGAGATATATTCGCCATGAATGTTTGTATTCATGATGAATATTGTAAAACATTTACGTCCATATTTGTGATGAATATGGACACGTGACATGTTATTGGTGGTTAATACCCGGTTCTCAATGAAAATGAGATTCTTAACGGAACCTTTATATATATATTAAAAGATTAATTATCAGAAATAATGGAAAAGAGAAGTCTTAAAAGAAGAAACTTATACTACGATGAAACATACCGAACTTGCGGTACACTCAAAGGAAAGATGTTGAAACCCAAGCACGGTTGGCACACCATTAACCATTCATTACTGCCAAAACGACCATCCATTCTGCCATAACCAGCTGGAAGAATAGTTGACACGGGCGTACACTCGAGTTTTTCATGAATGGGACAATCAAAAAAGCGTTGGGTGAGTTCACGGCTACGATTCACAAGTTCATCCGGCAAACCGTGGTTTATGATATGCAAGAATCCGAATTCTAAACAGGCCTTCCCAAATTGGTCTACAGTCTTCTTCCTTTCATCCTGGTTGGAATGGTTGAGAATGGAAGTAAGGTCAAGGAGTGGAATAGCCATTGGCCTTCTTTAATTTGTCTTCTGCAGGTTTTATATTATATATAAACTCATAATAATGGTTATTGAATTGAATGCATATAGTAATTGGTGTGGCTCCATTTTGATTGCTTGTTTAATAAAAGGAAATATGCTTGTTTAATTGAGGGTTATTGATTGTGGAAAATATATTTAAAATATAAAACATATGATTGTTTGCCTTTTTCTCTTTAAAAAAAGTTAAGATTTTTGTTCCGTCCACCATTGACAAACTTGGCCTTTCTAAGTTTGAAAACTCTCTTTTAATTCCAATATATATATATATATATATATATATAAGGATGTTATTTTACACCCTTTGCCATTCCTACACCCTATACAACCCTCATCTCAACCATTCAATTTTTAATCAATCAATTGTTTCCTAATATAAAGTATTAATCATAATTAATAAACTCTATTCATATTCCATAAATATTCAAATCATAATAAATGAACTCCAATCATTTCTATAAATATCTCAATTAATTGGGTTGCAAAGRTTGTACAAATACACAAGGTTGTAAAAGAAATATACCCTATATATATATATATATATATATATATATATATATGAGTTGGTTCAAAACTAACCAAGATTTTTGTGTTAACTTTGTTAACCAAGATCAACCAATCATATTTCATCTTTTCTTTAGGTTCACATATAACTCATATATAAATGACAAGGGTAATTAAGTAATTTGTCATTTATGTAACTCCCAAATCATTAATTGGGAGTTACAAATCTAAAAATCTCAATAATTGATGATTATGTAATATTGATATTTTTTTTATACGTGTTCATGTTTTGTAATTTCGATTTATTTTATCCATAATGATATTGATTTTGTAATTGCTAAAGAATTTTCGTTTGTAAAGATTTCGATATCGTCCGAGTAATATGGATAAACCTATTGGAAAACAGATCGACAACAATGAGAATGAAAAAGGTTAAAATCGTCTACGACTACAATCGGAATTTGAATTCATATGTAATTGTTAAAGAATTGTTCACAAGTGTTCATATTGTATTCATATGTACACTAGCTGCATATCTCAACATTGGTTTGCTCCTGAATATGTTCATAATGAAGGAACTATTGTTTACAAACTGTTCATATTGTGTTCATATGTATACTAGCTGCATATCTCAACATTGACTTGCTTCTGAATGTGTTCATAGTGAAGGAACTATTGTTCACAAACTGTTCATATTGTGTCCATATGTACACTAGCTGCATATCTCAACATTGGCTCGCTCCTAAATGTGTTCATAATGAAGGAACTATTGTTCACAAACTGTTCATATTGTGTTCATACCTGTTTTTTTTATCTATTTACTTTATTGTAACAACTATTCTTATTATGTTCATATTGTGTTCATAAATGCTATACAGTCCAAGTTCATATATATGTCAATTTTTGTTCGTATTTGACACAATGGTTCAATTATGTGTGTGTGTGTGTTCATATGGTTCTTACATTAACAAATATAAATTAATAAAAATAATGAGATTTTTTGATTTTGTAACTCCCAATTAATGATATAGGAGTTACATAAAAAAGAAAATTACCTAAATACCCTTTTTCCCCTTTGTTCACATATGTTCTTTGAAATTATAAATTTAAAAATTTAATTTTTTATCATGATTAATCACAACCCTTTATTGTAAGAATCAATGGCCAAGATTGGTTAACAAAGTTAACACAAAAATCTTGGTTAGTATTTGAACCAAACTATCTCTCTCTCTTTCTCTCTCTCTCTCTCTCTCTATATATATATATATATATATAGGTAGATAATACAAGAACACCCTTATCACATGTGATAATATGCGTGAGGGGACCCTGTGATGTGCCGACGATGTGTTCTACACTTAGGTCGCGCCAAAGGTTGTATGCGTCTATGATTTAACATCACATGTGATGATCTTGATGGATTATATATCATTATTAACAACAACCTTATCACATGTGATAATACTTGTGAGGAGACTTAGTAGTGTAAGGGCGACAAGATCGCATAAAAAATTGCTGGCGTCTCAGATTTAGTATCACATATGTATCATATGTGATGGAATAATAGTATCACATGTGATTGTTTATAATAAAAGAGTGTTCTCGTATTCTCGTATTCTCGTAAAATGAAAATCCATCGGAAATATTTTGAGGAAAATGTTTTTTTCTTCCGAAAAGAATATTTTAATGTAAATAAAGAAAATGATTTAACATTTCTAAGGATTTCAACCTTTTATGTTTTTTTATTTAAAAATTTAAAATCCATCGGAAATATTTTAAGGAAAATGTTTTTTTCCCTTCCAAAATAATATTTTAAACTAAATTAAAGAATTTAGCATTTTCGACGGATTACAATTTTTTCGGTTTTTATTTAAAACATTTAAATTCCATCAAAAATATTTTAAGGAATTTTTTTTTTCTTTCGAAAAGAATAATTTAGAGTAAATAAAGAAAATAATTTAGTATTTTCGACAGATTTCAATTCTCTATGGTTTTTATTTAAAAAACTTAAATTCCTTGGAAAATCCGTCATAAGTGTTTTAAGGAAAATGTTTTCTTTTTCTTCCAAAAAGAATATTTTAAAATAAATAAAAAAAATGATTTAGTATTTCCGACGAATTTTAATTATTTTTGGTTTTTATTTAAAATTTTTAAAATCCGGAAATATTTTAAGAAAAATGTTTTTCTTTATATTTTTTCTTCAAAAAGGATATTTTAAAGTAAATAAAGAAAAAAAATTTAAAATTTCCGACGGATTTTAATTTTTTATGGTTTTATTTAAAAAAATTATAATCCGTCGGCTCAATTCGGTTCAATTACACTTTAACGGGTACTATTGGGTTTTATTCGGTCCAATTAAGCTTTAACAGGTATTATTGGGCTTTATTCGGTTCAATTAAGCTTTAAAGGATACTACTAGGATTTAATGGATTTTATTGGACTTTAATGAATTTATTGGGCTTTAATGGGTACAATTTGGTCTTTAATAAATCTTAGTGGGCTTTAATGGATCTATTGACTTTAATGGATTTATTGAGCTTATTCGTTTCAATTGGGCTTTTACAGGTATTGTTAGGTTTTAATGGATCTTGGTGGAATTTAATAGATCTTAGTTGGACTTTATTCGGTTCAACTAGACTTTAATGGAGCTATTGGGTCTTATTCGATTCAATTGGGCATTAACATGTATTATTGGGTTTTATTCCGTTCAATTGGGTATTAACGGGTACTATTGGGCTTTATTCGGTTCTATTGGACTTTAATGAGTACTATTGGCTTCATTCGGTTCAATTGCGCTTTAACGGGTATTGTTGGGCTTTATTCGGTTCAATTGAGCTTTAACGAGTATTATTGGGCTTTATCTGTTGAAAATTTTATAAAAACGTTTTTTCCTTCCAAAAGCTATTTTTAAAGAACCACCAAAAGAAAACGTTCCGATGGATTTACTTATTTATTTTAAAAAAAAAATCTATGACGGAACACCGATTTAAATTTCCGTCGGAAATTTAAAAATTTTAAATTGGAGCCCAAATCTTAAATAATTTACTACCCTAAACTAAACTACCGTCGCCTCTCTCGATCGACCAGGCTTGAACTTTCATAAGAAGACGATTCCATAAGAAGAAGATTCCATGCATCTTCTTCTCGATCAACCAGGCTTGTGACAAAGACGATTCCATCTTCTTCTCGATCGAACTGCTTGACTTCATGAATACTGCTTGAACTGCTTCTATCTTTTTCTCAATCGAACACATGTTTGAACTTTGAACACTGTTATTTAGGTTTATTTATCATCGATTTCACCTATTTGCACCTATTTCACTATTTGCACCTGTTTGAACACTGTATTTTAGTTTAATTTGACTTAATGTTTTATTGTATTTGTAGTTAATTAACCACTTACAGTCCCAAATTCTAAGAAATGGGCACTTGAGATGAGATCCGACAGAATGAGGTTGATGAAATTCTCCGCAGCGAAGAGATTCGAAACAGGGAAGATGAGATCTGGAAGAAAGAACATGCAGACATGATGGATATGGTGAAGAGGTTTACACAATCTCAACAGTTTCCGCCGACCCCGCCACAATAGATTTGATATATTGTATTTATGAAGTAGTGTCACCAATCGTACTATAATTTTGTTGAAGAATTTATATTTATATATTATTCCATCCACATAATCATATTATGTATTTATAACATATTTGTGGATTGTATATTTGTATTTAATTTACAAGAGCTTTATGTTGTAGGATTTTAGGTTAGGAGGTTTTGGTTTTTTTCCTTATATCAGCTACATCTTCGACGGGTTTTTGGCGGAGAATCGATCGATAATAATTAAATTTAAGCTTTAATAAAACAAATTTTCTGACGGATTGTCTGATGGAATATTTGTCGGTAAATATTTTTATTTATTAAAAATAAAAAAACATTTCATATTTTTTAATAAAAAACATTTTTTTTAAAATATAATCACCGATGGAAATCCATCGGAAATTTGTATTTTAAGTTTTGAAATTAAACCGGTTACTATTTTGAATAAAAGTTAAACAAATGAAATCAAATTATCGACAGATTGTTCAACGTAAATTCCGTCTGTAACACTAATCACATTTTCTAAAGCTTCTAATCAACTCGGAAGAAGAATAACATATTATAAAACCGTTCGACGAATTTCTTGCTGGCTTTTTCCGCCGGAAAAATACAAATCCATCAGAAATTCCGTCAGAAATTGATTTAGTGGTAGGGGTTTTTCCGATGACGTTATCCGTCAGAAACTTGTTTTTTCGAGAGATATTGCCGTCGGAAGAAAACCCATTTTTTAGTAATGGTATAGTATCGAGCTATAGCTCATGTTGATGTCCAGTTATGATTGATTACTTCTTTCATTTGTGACCTTAATTCGGCTAGATACTACAAAATAAAAGGGTTTCATCGCTCGCATTTTTCCGCCAGAAATTTCCGACGAATCTGCGGTGGATTACCAACAAATTTTCCCGTCGCTGCTGGTCAATCCGTCGGTAATCCCGATCACCGACCACATTTTCTCCCATGACTTTTTCCAACAGTTTAATTACATTACCGAGGGATTAAAGCATCTTTGTTTTATAATGAGATCTTACTTGTCCTCTCTACAATATGGTGTGACAATATTGGTGCTACTTATGTGTATCCCATGTTTAATCCAAAACGTACACAGTTTATTCAAAGACAAAATTCTCTCATGCAAGTTCGATATGAGCCTATCGCAACTCCAATTCATAACATACCGATCTCTACTTGTTTACTACATGTGCAATCCAAGCTTCACATCGCTCCGGATGCATGGATCGCTTGCTAGGCGATGTGTTAGACTTGCATTACTCTCCTTGCCTCACGTATAATGCTGATTAGGAGTTAACTGAAGTTAATCATTGTGGTTAGGATGTTTTACAATAATCTATATGTTAGTGACCATAAATACTACTCTGGCTTTTTGCCATTTGGCTTTGGTTGTGGCTTTTTGCCTGATTCTTGTTTGTTTTTTCCGTGGTTTATAAATTTGCCTGGTTTTCCTTTCAAAAAAATACTACTCTCGCTATATTGTAAGAATTAAATCGATATTCAACCTACAAATTTGAAATGTGAAGCATAATTAAGTCAACTTCACTCTATATCTATATAGATGTGTCAGACGTGGATCGATGTGTGTGACAAATGTGCCCCTACATAACACAAAAAACATGATATTTTTGACATTAAACAGACAAATGAAAAATGGGAGTCCATCACTTATAAATCGTAGTCACAAGAAGCCAACACTTATAATGCACAAACAAAATCCCCACTTGTCTCCGAGTCATCCTCCATCTCAGAATCAATATCTGTATCATCATCAAGTTCCATATTCCCCCCTTCAGCTTTGGTCCCAATTATTGAACCTCTTCTAGCCTCTTGCATCATGGCTGTTACTTCTTCGATACCTTGCAACGCATTGTTTGCTTTGTCGATATCCGAGATAGATTCATCTCCGTCCTTGAGTTCAACAGGAAAGTTCTTCAAGAACCATGGATGCTTTTGAATCTCTGGTATTGTTATTCTCTACTTAAATGAAACATCATACCCATGAGAACTTCATATCCATACAAAAAGGGATCATATTGTATCAAGATTTCAAGAAATTATTTACCTTTTCAGGGTGGGCTATGAATATCCGCGATAAGAGTTGTTTGCACTCCAAGGAAACTCGAACGTAATCAGGGACTGCGTATTGGACGCTAAGTATCCGCTGCCATAACAAGTGAACGTATAACATGTTCTCACAGAAACAAAAGAAAGGGTAACAAAATTGAAGGGCTCATGAATTTTTAATAAATGGAAAGTTTTGTAGATGACTTACAGTGAGTGTCTTTCTGAAGTTTCTTGGATCATCATCATCTTCGAAAGGATAGGCACCAACCAGCATCACGTACAACGTAACCCCACAAGACCAAACATCTGCAATCTACATAGACCTCCACAAACAAGACAATCTTTATTACACATTGTAGATGAGAGAATACGTGTAGTGGAACCCCATTAGATTACTCTTCAAAAGAGCTATTAAAGAGAAAAACGGAGGTTCCTACGTATATTGAGCAGATAAGACTTGCCAAGGTCAGAAGAAACTAAAGCTGTAAAGGTTACCTTGCCATCATACTCTTTCCTAGATAAGACTTCCGGTGCAATATACGCGGGTGTCCCAACTGTAGATTTTGGTTGGGAGTGCAATACCGATGACTAAACAAGCCAAGGTATTTGTGAAATTAAGTTACGTATGTATACGATATATTGAAGTAAAAAATTAGAGTGCTAGGAGGGCTAACGACTAGATGTATTACCTTAGAGTATCCGAAGTCGCAAATTTTAAGACGTGGAGTGGAACTCCCATCCAAGAGCACATTCTCTAGTTTGAGATCTCTGTGGCAAATTTGCTGCATCAAAACCATTGTCACTGTCTCAATATTATTGATCAGGCTCACAATATTTTGTTAAAGATGCCACTAATATAAGTTTGAGCTACAGATTAATGGTGGAGATAGATGGGAGCTGAATGTGAAGAACATTACCATTGAATGGCAGTACCTGACTCCCGATATCAGTTGTTGGAAGAAAAATCTTGCCTGAGAATTCGATCGATCGAGCTTAAGAAACTGATTGAAGTGCTAAAATAAGAATCCAGTAACTCTGAGAAGAAACTGTACCTCATCCTCACTGAATCTACCAGCACTAGAAATTCTGTCGAAAAGCTCTCCTCCAGATGCATATTCCATGACAATGGCGAGATGGGTTTCTGTTAATAACACCTGCAAAAGATAAACTACCATTGTCGGTTCATGGGTCCTTAATTGTATTGAAAACGCATCATAAGAACACACAGTTGTACGTTCATTGCATATTACTGTATTACACATATTCGTACATACAAACTTAACAATACACACACCCACAAATACATACATACATACATACATACATACATACATACATACATACATACATACATACATACATACATACATACATACATACATACATACATACATNCATACATACATACATACATACATACATACATACATACATACATACATACATACATACATACATACATACATACATACATACATACATACATACACATTAATTCATTAAACCAAAGTAGTCCTAAATGATTAAGATTGAGGAAATTCAAACAGCAAAACGATTACTATACCTCCTTGAATCTGATAATATTGGGGTGCTTGAGTGATCTGTGGTTCAAGATTTCCCTTTCTACATGTTCATCAATCTGAAATCATTTCAAAATCTGGAATAATTAACAGACAGAAAACCTACACAAAATATCTGCAGAGATCGAGAAAAAACAGGAACCTTGTTGCCTCTCTCGATATACTTGACAGCATAAAGCTCGCCAGACCATTGATCCTTTACAAGCTTTGCTACGCCAAAATTCCCAGATCCTATGTGTTTTACTACCTCGTACCTTTCCATAAATCTCATTCAAGAAACAACAGTACTACTTATGGCTTATTTGGAAAAGCTAGCAAATTGAGACTTCTCTTTGGGTATAATATCAAGTTTTCAAGATGGGAGAGTGCACGGTGAAGCTTGCGAGTTTGCACGTGTGCTATATGTTCTACATACCTTGCTTGGTGGACGGAGATAGAGGAGTGGAGGAAAACCATGGACACGTGGCGGACAGATAGTGGTTACAATAATTAGTATTCTAACTTAGAAGCATTAATTGTTATCCTTACACATATTGAATTCAAAACAACAAAAACTAAATTTTGAAGCATTACTATTTGACTAATATCATTCATGTGTGACCGAGGGGAAATTTTGTTCTTTGTCAAACTTTTTTTTTTTTTTTTAATTTTAATTTAAAAATAAATAAATAACTAATATAATGTATTATTATATATAGGGATAGTTGAACCGTGGATGAACGAGAGCCACAATGTGTCCAAAACATTCACATGGGATATTCATCATAAATAAATAACTAATATAATGTATTATTATATATAGGGATAGTTGAACCGTGGATGAACGAGAGCCACAATGTGTCCAAAACATTCACATGGGATATTCATCATAAATAAATAACTAATATAATGATAGTTATGTTGCGGTATGTATGTCGAAGACGATAGATTTCGAAGGAAATATTTTGGTGCTGAAATTCTTTTGAAGATTGCTCTGTTTCCATGCAATTAGAAGATTTCGAGATTATTAAGTTGCTTTGGAGCCAAGATTAGTAGTACACTTATTGATGAAGACTTTTGCTCCCTTTTTGTCTTTAAAGCCCTTTTGTAAAACTACCTTCCTCTAGTATTTAAGGGAGCTTTTGCCATGTGTTTAAGGCATGCTTTCATGTCTTTTAGTTTGTGCTTTCAGGATTTCATCTGATTTTCAAATACTCTAAACTTTTAGTATTCAAGTGCTTTAATGTTTTCTACTACTTAATCTTTCGATTGCTTTCTAGAGTTAAGTTTGCATGTCTCTTAACAATTTCTGTTATTCAAGCTTTTAATCAAGTTGAGTTGAATACATTGGAAGTTGTGGTTGTTCTGGTATTTTGCTCTTTGTTACGAATTGCTCTCAAGTACTTTTGTTAACTTGCTCTTTACATGGTGCTTCTCTTGAATTAATTTCATCTAAGTGCTTTGTTGAGATTGATTTTCTTTAAGTACTTTCTATAACTTGTTCTCATTCAAATGATCATCTTCAAAATGCAAGAAAACCAACTGATGATGATAGGCTAACCCCTTAGCTTAGGTGTAAAGGGAAATTGAGTTCTAAATTGATTATTACTTTGATTTTTCATTCAAGTTTATATTGTTCATACATGTGGATCAACTGATGGTGGGTCGAATGGTAGTTTATAGGAGATGGTTGATTGACAGGAGGTGGGGGTCAGAGGTGGAGGTTGGAATAGAGTTGGTGGTTGTGGACAAAATTTTTAAGTGCATTCTCAAGGCAATTGACTCTCCTCTTCTACTCTTTTGTGCCTAAAGAAAGCTTAGGGGTTGTTTGGATCATGGGAATTTGGTGGAATCCTTTGACCAAATTCCAAATAGAGTGTTTGGTTCACATAATTGATGTGAAAGAATCCTTCCAATTCCAACAAATTCCTTAAGTTATTGATTTCACAATTCCACCGCAAATAACACGGATTTCAAATTCTAATCCGACAAATTCCTTAGCCCTCATCCATTAATCGATGCTATATCTCGATTTGTTCTGTTCTGCTATGCTCGATCTCCCTTGCTCGAGCTCGTTTAAAACTAATAATGGCAACGGGCCAGGTTCAGGCTGGTTATTGGTATCCCCGTCCCCAAAACCGATAATTAAAACCGTCCCCGTGACCGTCCCGATCCCCGTCGGGGATCTTATCGGGGATCCCCATCGGGTCTCCGCTGTTTCTCCGATCCCGGTTGGGGAACCTATTAAGGTAAAAATCTTTTTTTTTTCCCGTTCACCGTTGGTTATAACCGAACCCGAAACCGAAACATAAAACAGATCTAAAAAAATTACAATATGTTAATTTTCACAACTATAAGTAAATTAAATTTTTTTTAAAGATGTAAGTTTAAATGTGTCAAATATAATCGAACCAATTACAAACAATGTATTAGATTACAATATAAAACTAAACATAACTTCAAACATCATACAACTAAAATCATGATTTCACAATTAGACATATAAATTACATTTTTTCGTGAGCCTTATTTGGGTTCTTGAAGTAAAGTGGATAAAAGTTTTTAAAATTTTAATGTTTTTATTTTCTTTTAATGATATTATATATATATATATATGTATATAAATTAAAACTAATATATATATATATATATATATATATATAATACACATATCAGGCCGGACTGGGCAGATGATCACCGTCCCGCCTCCCGTTAAAATCCCCGAATTTGTCCCCGATCCCCACCCCGTCCTCGATAAGATGTCCCCGAACCCGGCCTGAAAGTTTCGGTTTTCGGTTTTTTTTGTCATCCCTATTCAAAACTGTTTGATCTGGTATGCTCGACCCCTCTCTCTCTCTCTCGTTCTTTCCATCCTAAAAAGGATTTTCTCGAAATGCCATCTATGTAATTTTCTCGTTAAATTCCGTGAACGAAACAAAAAAATTCCAATTCCGTTAAGAATTCCATTCCAATTCCATCCAACCAAATGCAATCAAAAGACATGGTAAAATTCCATCAAATTCCATTCAATTTCCTCAAAGTCAAATTCATTTGATGAATTCCAATTTCATCAAATTCCATTCTACGAACCAAACGCTCCCTTAGTGTTCTTCATTTCTTGCAACTACTCTCTCTGTAGTTCTTGTAAGTTATTCTTTGTGTGAGATTACGAAAAACTGCTTTCGTGCAGTCTCTTCATATTAGGTTTATCTTTTCCTTATTCTACAACAATATGTATTTCTTTGTGTTAATTCTTGATATACATTAATAAGAATTAAAAAGTTGAAAAATCTGGATAATTGTATTTAACCCCCTTCTACAGTTATTTTATGTTTATTGCCATCCAATGAGGGGCCAACATGGTCTTCTTATAACTTCACCAACTTTTCTTACAACTCAAGAACGTACAAATATTCAACCTTTGATAAAAATCAGTAATGTGTTACCGATAAAAAGTAATAACATTATACATATAAGAAACATACCATCGTAGAAGAACTAGCAACATATGATCTCATAGCATGATGGGGGATTATGGGTGATCCCAACTCCAAAGAGACGACCCTTCCTCTGGCCTACAACACTCTGCTCCCACAGTCGTGGGTTGTAAGAAGCTAGGCGTTGGGATTTGCATCGTCATGAACCTCATTCCTAAGATGCTCATACCTCTCTTATGTTTACGAAAACAAATAAGTAAGCTAATATTTCTAGACATCTCGGCAACATAATGACTGTAAATCGAACATATCTGTCAACCTTTTTTTTTATTTATAACAATTATAGTTTTCTTACCAATGACATGTATTGAGAAACTACACAAGTATACATGTTCTTCAAATATCGTCTTAAAACAAGTAATTATCCATGAATTAATACTTAGCTTATTCTCCCAAGCTGGGGCGTTGAGCCCATCATTGCTGGAAATGGTAAAGACATGTATTCAAATAACGTAAAAGTAAAGTTGTGTGAAATGTAAAGATGCAAGAAACTAAAGTGTCAAAAACATAAGGTGAATGAAATGTAAAGGTGTAAACTTGCATCAAAAGAATCGAGTCTTCAAAAGATTGGTGACTTTAGTTCCAAACAATATTTTTTCCAAGTGATGACAAAAAGTATAATTAGCTTCCATTACTGTAGCAACATTCTACGACAACATTTTTGTTTGAATTTTATCCATAATATATAATCTAGAATAGAACTACTGTCTACAACCTAGCTCCATACATGTTTAACCTATAAAATAAGAATAAAAAAACACAATATATATATATATATATATATATATATATGATTGGGAAGAAATAAAATGAAGTAAAATAAACTCATAAATAGGTGTTAAAGTGTATATTTATATACACTTATCACATATATACAGACAATGCATACGTACCTATCAATATACCTTATCAAAGACCAATTGCACATATTCAAATTATGTATACACATCGAAACATAAGAGCACGCGCATACGCACACATATGTACATTTCTCTAGCTATGATCAATATATAGACTATCAAAGACCAGTTGTTAGATGACTATATATATGTGTGTGTAATTAGTTATATAGCACAAATCAAGTAAATACTTAAATAATTTAATTTTCAAACAATTTTCATATACTTAAATACATATATAATTGATGGTAGTTCAAAAAGACCCGGTTCATACAGAGGGAAAACTATGTTTTATTCAGCTTGGAGGATCCGTGGATGGGTGGCGGAGGTTGTTGCAGCGACAATGGTGGTAGGGGTCGAGGAGGTTGGTGACTGGTGGACAACACTGACTATGCATTATGTGAATATGGTTGACAGCGGTGGTGGTGGTGGACAGTGGTGGATGAGGTAGTTGTAACTGATGTGGTGGAGGTAGAGGCGGACGATGATAGTAGTAGCCATGGTGGGGGACAATGGTGTACTTTGGAGGATCTAAAGATGGTAGACACGGGATGCAGTGGAGGTAATTGCAACAGCAATGCTAGTGGAGGTAGAGGCAATGGTGAAATGGTGGCTGGTGGACGACGGTAACTGTGGAGGATGTGAACATGGTGGACAGTGGTGCTGGTGGTGGTGGAGGCCGATAATGGTGGAGGATATAGGTGTGGCCAATATGATGAAGATAGATGTGGTAGGGTGGTGCTTATGGTGGAGGTGGCCAACGGTGGTTGTGGAGGTGGTGGAGGAGGTTGTAGCAGTGGAGGTGGCAAAAGGTTGTCGACAGTGGCCGGTGGTGGTGTTGGCGATGGACAGTGGTGATTAGTAAAAATAAATATCATATTAATGTTATATCAAATGAGCGTAGATTAGTAATTTTATAATTTATGTCATATGCTTGTCCCTTCTTGTTCCACCTAGTTTGGTGGAACAAAAAAAGCTTTCGTTTGTCCATGTCCTGTACCTATCAAACGTGGGACTATGAGTTTTGTC